TCCACTGATATTAAGCCCCGTATTTTTCTGTCTTTGTTGAAACTTCAGGCTGCTCTGCGCAACAATCAACAAATTTTACGTTTGACTTAAAGAATTTCTTTGGAAATTGTACTGATTTTTTTGTTGCTTTTGAAACCATAAGAAACCAATTACTGTTTTTTTATACATAAATAAATACATAATATGTATGTGCATTATGTATGGGCATATAGATCTTTGATTGAAGTGTTATCCTATATTGACTATGAATCTATTATAATTATGTACTTTTAATCAATAAAATACATTATTAGATTTTTTCGAATTTATATTGTAGTTACAAATTGAGAATATTTAGGAACCAGACTACAGAAAACTTGAGAAATGTCGCTTCTACAGAGGAATTTGATTGCATTTCTCTTAGGTGATTTTATTATCTACGATCCATCGCTCGTTTGGTAACTATTTAAATACATAAAACCTGATCTACTATGGGTCATAATTAATCAGCAAAACGCCAAATTAATTTGCTGCTTTTGGAATTATCTGAATTCTGATCCACCGAAATCGTCAATTTCTAGCCAGAACTATTCCTAAATTATGCCAATGAATTTGCATTCAGAATCCAACCGCAAATAATTACTAGAATTTAAATTTGTAGCTTTCACTCACCCACAGACGGTATATTGATGCACAAGGCGTGTGACAACTTCAAATAGGTGCGTCCCAGCTCATACGAGCAGATTTGCTGCACATCGCTTATGTCAATGAGAAGATCTATAAACGAAAGCAAACCCTATTAAGTCACTCCGTCACACCAGTCATTGTGTTGGGGACTTACGAGAAGTGCCCTCCGTGCGGCAGGTCATGTACACGCAGGCAGCGTATATGTGTGTGCTCTTGCGACCACGGGTGAGGTGACGACTGAGCGCCATCTTGAAGAAGTTGAGTGCCGTATCGGCGTAGTGCTGAGAGAGCTGCAGCTGCTGGCAGAGCAGAGTGATGTCCTTCTTGGCCTTTTTGATGGTCACCTCGCGGGATTCTGTGCCCGAACCCACTTGGAACTTGCCGTAGCCATAGTTGGTGGCCCCTCCAGACGATTCGGCAGACACGAACTGTCCGATGGCTGCGGCACCATGGCCCACCTCCTCGAACTGCACCTCGGAGACAATGAGCGAATCCTCCAGCACAGAACCGCAGTTCATACACACTGAAAAGGGAAAGGTCACAAGTGTCAGAAGGAAAGTTTGTAGTCACAATTCCAATGCCTACCTCGATCTCCTCGCGCATTGTCCTCCTCGATCTCGTTGGATCCGCAATTGCGACACTTTAATCCCGTCGACATTTTGTTTGAATGGAACTTCCCTTCCAGCTGTGTGCAAATCTTTAGAGCTGTCCTGCTCTAGCGTATTCAGTGAGCAGCGGGAATCCAAGAAAGCAGCTCAAACAACTAGGTGTCGTCTCGGTTTTGATGCATTTTCTTTTGTTTTTGATTAAACAATTGTTAGTTTATTCTCAAATTTACTGCACGCTAGCTGCCAGCTGACCAGGGATACGCACCGATTTACAACACTGCTTCCAGAATGCGGTATGAGCGATTTGCAGCACTGAAGCAGAGGTTATTCAGTTAAAGGTGCCGCAAGAAAAATCTAGTATCATGTTTCCATATAAAAATGGGATTAAAATAAAGAATACTAACTTCTAAGTGTGTAAACTAACATTATATTGCACAAAAAACTAAAGTGTATTAACAAGTATGCCATTTATCAATTATATACCCATATATCCCACCCAACACATCTCTGTGAAGACACTCAACTCACATGTTTGCGTCACCCAAACACAAACTCACTCTGTACACGAAAAACCCAACAAAATAAACAAGTTAAAGTCGGCATCGAATTGTGAATCATTAAGATAACTTACATACCATAACTAATAAAAATATACAAGAGCTTCCGAAATGGGTGATGCAGACAGAGAGCTTAATAGCAACAGCGAACCGGTGAGGCCACTGGTTGGCCTCCAGGTGATTGCGCCCGAGGATATGGCGTCCATCGAAGAGACAATCACAATTGATCCAGAGTGCTTCGAGTTAGATCTGAATCATCGCCGCATTGAAAAGCTGGAAAACTTTGAGCCCCTCACCCAGATAGAGCGACTGTTCCTGCGCTGGAATCTCATCAAGAAAATCGAGAACCTGTCGATGCTGAAGACCCTCGTGGAGCTGGAACTCTACGACAATCAGATAACCAAAGTAGAGAATCTCGAAGAGCTGACCAACCTGGAGATGCTGGACCTCAGCTTCAATCGGCTGACCAAAATCGAGAATCTGGACAATCTGGTCAAGCTGGAGAAACTCTACTTTGTGGCCAATCGGATCAGCGTCATCGAGAATCTCGGCATGCTGACCAGCCTCACCATGCTGGAGCTGGGCGACAACAAGCTCAAGAAAATTGAGAATATCGACACACTGGTAAATCTGCGACAGTTGTTCCTGGGCAAGAATAAAATCGCTAAAATCGAGAACCTGGACAAGCTGGTCAATCTGGAGATCCTCAGCCTGCAGGCCAATCGAATCGTAAAGATCGAGAACCTGGAGAAGCTGACCAATCTGAAGGAGCTATACATATCCGAAAACGGCATTGAAGTAATCGAGAATCTGTCAGAAAACAAAAATCTGGACACATTAGACTTGGCCAAGAACCGATTGAAGGCCGTTGGTAACCTGGAGACCTTGGAGAATCTGGAAGAGCTCTGGTTGAATCACAATGCCATCGATGATTGGAACAATATCGAGCTGCTCAAGGCAAACAAGGCCCTGCAGACGATCTACTTGGAGAGCAATCCCCTGGCCAAAGATATTCGCTATCGATCCAAGTTGCGCGACATTCTGCCCCAACTGCAGAAGATCGATGCCACCATGTGCGTGCTGCCGGGCCAATAGGTTTGGATCCCTGTACACGTTATACACATATTATATTCATACAAACGTTTCTTAAGACTCATCCAGTGGCTAACCCCAAACAATTGTAGCATATATCAATTAACTATGAAACCTGGCGTTTAAAAATATAAAAAACTAAATTACAAAAATGTAATATATTTACATACTTCTGCTTACACTACACCACTACGAGAAAGTTTTGCCGTATACGGCGGAGTCTTAACTGATAAGTGACAGGCACCTTTTGCACTTCCTTTTTTGTGCAGTGAACGCAAAAAAAAAACAATTAGCTTATCATGAAATTTGTTGTGGAAATGCCTAAAAGAACAAAGAAGAATTGAGGCATCAAGTTGTGGTTCCTTAGCGAATCGTCAGGTATCGGTGGGGGTAATCACAATTGAATGGCGTAGTAGTCAGAAGCAGTAACCTGATGTGGGCCACCATAGAAGTCCAGCACAAAGATATTGCGAATGATCAGCTCGCACAGATAGAAGTTGTGAGCTGCAATCGGAACGGGAATCAAAAAAGAAAGGAAAATCTAATTTATTTTGATATTCCAACCCTTTATCCAGTTTAGTGCTGCGGGATGCCGTTTGATGTACGCGTCCAGCGCTGGCTTGTAGCTGCTATCCCTCGGATCGAACTACAGATGGACAAAGGTTAAGAATTTTCAGGCAAATTCAGATGCAAATGCATCACTCACCCTCTGCACTTGGCCACTGATCATTGAGCGCGCACAAGTAGGCTCCATGGGATCCTTGCCGTTATCCTTGCAGTGCAGGGTCTGCTCTTCGCTGAACATCAGCGTCACCTTGTTGTTCTTTTCCCAGTCGGGACCCGTAAAGTCCAGGTCGGTGAGCAGGAAGCGTATCTTGCCCGTGGAGTTGCCATTGGCGTCACTGTCATCGATCGACACAATGTTGACCATGGGATAGCTCTCCACAATTTTGTTGGTGGAAATGCTGCCCACCGCCGCCCAGTTAGCACGGTGCACCAGCTGCCGAGCGATCTTGGCGTGGTTGAGTCCCATCTCCCGCTTGTACTCCTCTATAATTCTGGCATCCTCGCTGGGGGAGTATCCTTGGGTTTGGCTGAGACCGAAGGCAAATACCAAGGCCAGCAGCAGAGCAGGGCAGGTGTTCATTGTGGCTAGAGATAGGCGGCAATATGTAAGTAAACCCGTTCACTTTCAAACACCCACTGTGGGCATTCAAGAAATTTGCAACGCATTTATAAGCAGCCTTCATCTTTGTAATGCAACGACTGTGATTCACTCGATGCATAAATAACAAAGCGACCGTCCGTCTGTTCATACGCATTTTCGTACAGCGACCGTTCGTTCATCCCAACTTTCATACGCATATTGACCTTTGGCGCCGTTTTGCCTTCGATTTCCTACGTAGAACTTTGAACGTAGCTCCACCATATGTATGTATTAACATACATAGTATGTGCGTACATCGCTTACCTTTTCGATCTGAGTTTGGTGTTGTGGCTCTGTTGGGATTTGTTTGCAAAATGACTTGCCCCGCTGCTACTACGCCTTTGTTATCTTCACCTGCCCACCGGAGGTACAAAGAGAACCACTAAGCTGTCAGCTGTTTTGAGCTGCTACCTGCCGCTGGAATGGGTATATGAGTGCCCACAAGAAGTCGCTGATTCAATGTGCAGCTTACTGCTTACTAACCTGCCAAGCATTCAGCCATGATCACCAGAAATACTTAACTCATTTTGATATTATTTCAGCGTACTTGTAAAGAAAAAGTCATCAGCAAATACACTCATAGAGTTCATTGGGGGTATCATGTGGTCGATCACTGTGGCTGTTTGCTCTACAGGTTGCTCGCACTCAGCATTGCCAGACCAAAATAAGCTGACTGCTGTGGCACGCACCCCAAACCGGAAGAAACAGTTATTTGAACTCAATGTCGGGCTAACAGCTTGGTTTTCTTTTATTTTTGCAAATTTTTACTCCATAAATGTATTTGATGTTAGGAATATCATAATATTTGTAGTTGTACATTTCGTTTTCCATTAACTTGACTTGGTTTAACATTTATTGTGGCAAATTGTGATGTATTTTCCGTTGTTTTAACAAAAAAACAACAACAAAATTGTAGGTAAAGACAAACGTTTTGGTATTCCGTTCTATGCAAAGTTCTTCTGTAATTATTACAGAGTGCGAATATTGTTTAACATTGATTTGTATTTTGTATTTGTATTTGTGTTACATTTACGTTTTCATTTTTGTACCGTTGGAAATATACGTTTTGTTTTTGGTTATAACTCGTATTTGTTGTAATTAAATTACGTTTGCCAGTTTAGTTTACCCTGCCGCATACAGTTTGTTTGAAAAATATATGTCCATACTATGCTTATCCCTTTGAATACTGAGATAAATACATACGAGTGAGTATGTGTATAGATATCAAGTGTTTTTTGCATTCACTTGTATTTGTCTTTGTTTAGTTTTGATTTGTTTTTTTTTCAAAAATAGATGTGTAAAAGTACATAGATCATATGATGCGTGTATGTATGTATGTATGTATATATGTATGTATGCATGTGTGTAAATTGTTGTTAAAGTTAAAGTTTCGTTGATGTATTGGTTTTACAATTTGTTAAAAGTTTAAAGCCCATTTGCGTTGCATTGCAGCGGAGCGTAGCTCAAAAAATGTCTTACTTCTTCTTTCATTGTGTGTGTTTCAGGACATGTAGTTCAAGTCTTACAAAATATATAAATCATCCATCGATTTGTGTTGGCTTTGAGCGGGTTTCAATGTATTTAATGGCTTTCTCCTGCCCTAACACTCATTTAGATTACTTTACGAATGAACATAGTTTGAATCTCTGGGGAATATATGTTTTGGATGTATTTTATGCTTATCAATTATGTGGCATTCAATTCTTTGCCTGCCATACAGATATCGTTGCGATACAAAAAAACGTTTTAGATATTATTTTCCACCAAAATCTTTTTTTTTTATATTCAAAAACCATATTTTGGTTGCCTTTTACACTTGTCTGATTTTCACACCATCCCATTTAATATTTCTTGCCCTCTCCCAAACAGGTGTCTCATTATGAGGATTTACATATAAATATAATGCTTGCCGTTACATCATAAAGAATGTCCACAAATGATCACCTGCTTGAAGCTCTAACCTAATCGTACCTTTATGCCCTTAGATATCGGTTCGGTAGATGCCGAGTGAAAAACTAGAACTTGGTTTTTGAACTTAAAAATTGATTTTCGGGGCTCGGTTTTTTGTCTCGTGCAAAGTTCAAACTCCCTGTGGCACAGAGCTTTCTTTTTGGTTATGTTAACTAAATGCATTGAATCCTTTATGGCATTCATACGCATGAATTACAGTCACATCTATACTCAAAGGATGTACAAGTATTCAACATTGATTTCGTTTTGCTTGCTAGTTTAACATCTTTTTAAACACGTATAGGTTTAGTTATTAAGTTGTTTGGTTATTTTAAGTTTAGACTAACATACAAAAAGCAACAACAGCAAGTCGGTCTACATGTAGTGGATATATATCTGTGTGGAGCTTGCTCGTTGGCGCCACATATTAAAATAGTTACCACAAACATACATATACAAATTACAGAATATTTTAGAGGGTATACATTTATGTTTAAATATTTCTTGAAATTCTTGCGCAAGCATGAAGTTTTGTTTGTTTGTCATATTTTAATCAAACACATAAATACCATTAGTTAATATATTCCTAGCACATATTCTGTATTGTAGTCCATAAATATTTTATCATTGTAGTTAATGTTTATTTTTTTTCGGCTACGACTTACTTTTATGTATAAAGTTTAATAATTTCTTATTCATTTTTAATTTCATTTTTTGTTTTGTTTCATCATTTTCAAACAATTCCTTGGCGCTTGCGTATTCTGTGAAGTTTTGTGTTGGTTTTTACCATTATATTTAGCTTTTTGCTTTTTTTTTACTCAAAGACCAAATATCAAACAAAAGGGTTTAAAGCTTTCAAATTCACTTCGTTTCATTTCGTTTCATTATTTTTTTTGACTAGCTTGGAAGCATGAGTTAAATTAGAACCTAAAATTTGTGTGGTGTGTCCAAGCAGCATGGGAACTGTGACCTAAGAGTGGGTCTAACGTATGGGTAAAAGCAAAACGGGGGCAGTTTTCAATACGCGGGACATTGGTATAACACGTTAAAGCTATAATTTTGTCGGCCAACGCACTCCAGTAGGTTTTACTCGGGATGCTTGGGTCGGAGGAGAACGTGAACCTGTACGGGAACGGGGACCATATTAACGCCGATCGTTGGCACCGCCCGCTTCCGGCTTTGTTTCACCGGGCGCCTTTTGCACCGCCTGAAGCTCGTACTGGTAATAGCAGTCGCTGCCTACGTAGACGGTGCGCCAGACGCCGTCCACATCTCACATTTGCCGATACGGCGAGTGCATCTTGAGCCACTGCAGCACCAAGGACGGACCACCGGCCTGGATCTCGGGCGGAATGGTGCTCAGCGGGCACTTGTCAATGTTGAGATACTTGAGGTTCTGGCAGAGGGCCAGCTCAAAAGGGAGTTTCTCCAGACCGGGATTCTGATTGATATAAAGGTTCTCCAGTCCCTCCAACGACCCAATCTCCTCGGGCAAAAACTGCAGGTTGTTCTCGCTGACAGACAAATGTGTGAGGTTGCTCAAGTGCCCAATGCTGCGCGGTAGCATTGTGATCTGATTTGTCTGCAGTATCAGCCGCTGCAGGTCGTGCAGCAGGCCAATCTCGTGCGGCAGCACCTCGATGCGGTTCTCCTCCAGGTCGAGGATGCGCAGCTTGCGCATATTTCCAATCGTGTTGGGTATCTTCTTGAGCATGTTGTTCGACAGGATGAGTATCTCCAGATTCTGCAGGTTCATGATGTCATCGGGCAGCTTCTGCAGCGCATTCGTGGCCAGATTCAGCTCGACCATGTTCACCCACGTGCCAATGTCCAGCGGCAGGGCTGTCAGCATATTCTCCTTCATGTTCAGCTTGGTCAGGCCCTTGGCTCTCGAGAATATGCCGTACGGTATCTTGTCGATGCGATTGTGCTCCAAATTGATGCTGTAAACGTTCGTGAATTGCGCCGGTCCTCCGGTGGGGTAGCTGGTGAACTGATTGCGGGACAGGGTGATGGTGGTGAGGCCGCTCAGGCTGGCAAGCATGCCATCCGGCAGCTGGGTCATTCCATTACCCTCCACATTGAACTCGTCCATGCTCTTGCAGTTCTTCAGCGTGGCCGGTACGCTGCTCAGTCGATTGTAGCGCAGCCCCAGCCGCACCAGTGACTTCAGATTGCCAATGCTGTCGGGTATGTCCAGCAGCTCATTGTGCTGCAGATCCAGGGCGCTCAGATTCACGCAGTTCCCAATATCCTCCGGCAGGTGTTCCAAGTGATTGTGCGACACATCGAGCGTGGTCAGATTCACCAGCGCCCCGATGGCACTGCCCAGCTCCCTGATCTTGTTCTCGCGCAGACTCAGCATCGTCAGATTGACCAACTGCCGCAGATCGTCGGCCACTGCGGTGATGCGATTGAAGCGCAGATACAGCGTGGTGAGCGTGCGCAGGCGATAGATGACGTGCGGGATCTCGGCCAGCTTGTTGTGCCGCAGATCCAGCACTTTCAGCTGCTTGCAGTTCTGCAGCGACTCGGGCAGCGAGGTCAGCGAGTTCTCGTTCAGTGCCAGATTCCGCAGGTTCACCAGGCATCCAATCTCCGCGGGCAGCTGGCCTATCTTGTTGCTATACAGATACAGCTCGGTGAGGTGCACACAATCCTTGACCGTGCTGGGTATGACCGTGATGGAGGATTTGCTAAGATCCAATCGCTTAATGCCTGCAGGGAAAATGGATTGATGGAGTTTTGTTTTTTTTGTGTGGCAACTGTGAAAGACTTACCCTCATCGCGGCAACGTTGCAGCGCCTTGATCACATCCTGGTCCGCCTGGATGGGTTTGCTTTTCTTGGTGGTGGGCTTGGGCTTGTTCGATTCCGGATGCTTGACCGTCACCATTTTGGGACGCGTCTCGGGCGGCATAGTTGCGTTATTTTCGTTGTGTTGCTGGCTGTGTCCGTTACTGCTGCTAGCCGGATTGCTGCCCCCGCTGCCGTTGGCTGTGCTGTGATGACTGTGATTGGTGCTGAATGCTTCCTCCGAGCCGCTGCCGCCACCTCCGTTGCTACCGAAACAGTGTGTTTGGGTCTCTGAGGGTCCGTCGTTGTTGCTGTTCCTGCCGCCACCGCCGCCACTGCCACTGCCTCCTCCTCCTCCTCCCCCTCCTTCAGCAGTGCCGCCGCTCCGCTCCGCCTGCCCCGTGGATGATAACGATGTGGTCGATGCCGTAGCGCCCGAGGAACACAAGTTCATTATTTTGCCCAGGTTTGCGGTCGGCGGCGACAAAGCGTTGCCCAGAAGTGTGCCAAAGCAACAGCAGCAACAGCCGCAGCCAGAGGGATTCGTTGCGCTACCCTGTTAAAGTAAGTAAAGCACGTGGAGGGAGGGAGAGGGAGAGAGTGAGAGTCAGTAAATGGTGGAAAAGTTGATTACTCGTTTATTGCTGCAGTTTATCAATTGTGCGTCAGAGTAGGAGCCCAATCGTAGACCGTGCGTCATCCCCACTGCCAAGCCAACGCCCCTCCCTATCCCAGAACTAACCCGCGCTTTATTACTTTTGCTTTTGCCTCTCTCCGACAGGCAGCGCTACGCGCCTTATTGACAAGTTGACCATAAACTTTTCAGCAACTCTACACGCAAATCAATAATTAAATATTCCAAACCGTGACGTGGAAATGGAAGCGAGTTGATATACCAACTAGAGGATATCCTACACTATACCCTATAGAGTACCATAACCGATGATTAAATTCGGGGAAAAAGTAAAAAAATACAAAAATATAAGCACCATATCTTTAACGTTGTGCTAGAGCTTGTACCCTGATAATGGCAAAAGGCATGAGACGTGATAAAAATATAAAACAAACAAGAAGTTTCTAAAGATTAAGCAAAAACAGAACGTGACTCGATTCAATTTTGCATACAACAACAAAATATTGAAGCAGGGCAACAATTTACCGCTTACATGCAGGCTGTTAGGACAGAGACTAGATCGAAGAAATAAACTCTTTAAAACACTTTACAACACTAGGCATTCCCCAACAGGACATAAGAAGACCATTAAATAAGTTCCAGAATATGCCACATCACTTTATTCATGGCGATGCATGTGTGTCCGTATTTATGTTCTTATAAAACTTTCGAGAGCTGTCAATAGCAGCAGGATGCGGGGAGCGCATCGCATGGCATTGGGTTGCACGCCCACGCCCACTACCACGTCAAGCGAATTCCCACCCGCACGACAAATGGAATGCTCCTGGTTGGTATACTTGTGGTAAATGTCAAGGTCAGTGTGGCAGTCAGACGATTCCTGGAAAGAGCCAATGCCAATGCCAGTGTCAAAGGTTGAAAGTGCACTCATACATCACATCACATCGCATCACATCACCGTTATGTGTTGGCCAAGAAACACGAGACCACACACACGCACACACGTATACTCACACCAAGCGTTTGGCCACACACAGGCACGCAGACACACTCCCCCCCTCTCGAACTCTGCCTCTTGTGGGAAACTTGAGCTTAATTATTATGCACAGAAACAGAATTTAAGACACCCTAATCAAATTTCGCAGCATTGTGCACATCCGAACCAATTAAACGGGCCGCTCGCTCAAGTGGAAGACGCCGCCGTGGGGGATCAGAATATCGGTACAAAATGCAGTGGAATTGTACGGAGCTTATGATAAAGTCCCTCCCCACACAGAATGATGGATGGACAGCGGGGTGGGTGGGGTTGGTTGACTGGCAGCCTCTGATTCATGGTAAATTTCCATTTCTTTGATTAGTATATTGTATCGCATTGTACTTGACGAATTGTTGTTGCTCTTGTTGTTCTTGTGTCAGTGGGACTCATAAATTGTTGCTCTTTTGTAGGCAAAACACAAATTGCGGCACACAAGTGCAAACACAACACAAACACAAAAACAAACACACGCATATAAATTTAAACAAATCGTTTGGATTCTGAATTTAACTTACTAATTTCACTTAATGGGCCATCAATTGAAATTGAATTGTTGATCTCTTAATATTTGGCACTCTGCTCATAGCCTCGCACAAGAGAGATTGTTATGATTTAATTTGCACACATCTTTTTGCTTGTTTGCCCATTTTTTTTCTTTTCTTCTTTTTTATTTTTGAATTGAACAGCTGTTCCTGGCAATGTGACCGCGGATTTGTCATCAAAATATACCGTCTGAGTCTCATAAATATACCAAAATATACATTATTGCTTGAAAAATATACCGAAAACCACCTCTGCCTAAATAGGTAAACCAGTTGAATTAAATCAGCGAAAATAGTATTGTTTGTAACTTCTGCTTCTAGATAAAAAGATAGATAACTATTATAAATTATACATTTCAGTCAAACATTTCTCTGGTGATGGCTATCTTGCGATAGAAATTTCAAGCAAAATTAAGTCCTTTAAAAATTCGGCAGGTGGCGTGCTCATAATTGTGTTTCCGTGCTGGAAAATGCCAAATGAAAAGCTTGCACTTCAAGCAATCATTTAAATATAATTTGTTGTTAACTTTAGCAAGCACAAAATAATTGTCTAGTTAAGAGAACGCAAAACAAAACATATCCATGAATGTGCCATCAAATCAGTTAATTTATTGGCATTAATTTAACGATGTTTTCCTCTCCCTTTCGAGCAGCAACAAATATCTGCATATGTATGCTACCAAGTTGAAAGTGCATACACACACGAAAGCGCACCACGCGCACGCACACACCCACATACGCGCAGGCAACTGCATACTGAGACACCACCACATCACACACATACACCTACATCAACACGGGACTGTTATACATAATTTATGATGCGCAATTTGCCAACATTGCAATGCAGAAAAGTGGGGTTTCCGCCCGCAAAAGCAACAAATGACAGACAACGGGGAGGGGGGGGGGGGGGAGTAACAAATACCAACCTGCAAGTAAATCGCCACGCGTGATAAAGTTTTCAGCGTGGCCTTGTGAGCTCCGTGCACTGGAATTTAAGTTTTTTCCTGCGTCTCTTCCTGCCCGAACACACTTTCCTCCTCTGGCTGCGGGACTTCTGTGTCTGCTGTGAACGTTTTTTGTTTCGTTTGATTTTCGCGTTTGGTTTTCACACTTTTCACAGTTATGGCTTAATGTGGAGCGGTGGGGAATGAAGCGGGAATGTAAAACAGTTCAACTAAATCCGGAGAAAGTGACTAAAAGCCTTGCAGAAAAAAAACTAAATAAAAACTGGCGATTTTCCTTCTCGGAGGTGATGTGACGCGCGTTCTGAGTTGAGGTACGTCCGAGAGTTGCGAAGGATATATGTATATATTATCCTTCTCGAACCTTATACAAATACAAAACATCCAAATGGGTTCCACACCCACAAGTTCCACACACACGTCTGCGCAGTCGTTGCATGTACAAATCATGTAGTAGCGAGAGTGACTGTAAAATTGACATGGCCTTGAAATTTCAACGTTAAATATGTCAGGAAATTAACTGTTTTTGTGTCAACCTAAGCGTATTTATAAATATTTCAATAACAATTTGTCTAACATTCCAAAAACTTATTTCTCCAGCAGAGGTCCGGTGCCCAGAAGATTGTTCAGTTCGTCGTGGGTTATGATCTCGCAGGCCCGTTCCGATAAGATACGGTAGTCTGGAGTGTGGAATATAGGTGAATATTGAAGAGTATCCTTGTATCGGGATCTACTTACCCTTCTGGTACTTGCAGTTGTACATCCTCATGACACAGCTGCTGGCAAAGGTCCGCAAGCAGCCATCCAGCGCGTTCAGAGCGCAAACGACACGATACTTCATGGGGCACACATCGTGGCACTTTTTCGGACCTGCACACATGATAAGGAAATTGCTGTAAGTTTTGCTGTGAATTTGCAATTTATATAAAACTTAGACGCACCCGTAAAGGCACACAGCGGACCCACACCGATCCCGGCCAGAAATACACAAAGGACGAGAATTTTGTTGCCAAAGGCAATTATTGACATTTTTTCTGGAAGACCGTTTACTCTTTCTGCAATTTTGATAATGTGAAGGTCGAGACCAGAACAGTTTCTTCACTGCCCAAAAAATGGCTTTACATTTATTTCATCTGTCAATTGTGTCAATATTTGTACAATTTTATAAAAACAAAATAAAGATATTCATTTCTGTGACTGCGCTCGGCCGCTTCTCCTGCTGACTGCTGCTTAGCGGGCACAGACATCCGAGTCTCGCGTGCAGCGACCTGTCGACACCTTCCGCCAAACTGATGAAACAATTTCGGTATTTAATGCAATTCAATTGCAATACTGACATGGACTTACCCTCTCTCTTTTGACAGGCATGCCTATCCATTTCGCAGGGATTCCTGAAGGTGCATTCGATTTCACTGCCACCTCGCACCGTTTTAGCGCAGAGGTACTCGATGCGTCTGTTGCACGGCAAATTACATTGCTGGGCCATCAAAAATGCCATGAGGGACATCAGTTCTAACAGTAGCAGAATCATCTTCATCGTGGGATAGAGGTTCTCCAACTGCCACGCGCTGTGCGCGAACTAAAGAATTTTATATATGACCAGATTTGGGGCATTCAACGAACTCGTTCCACGAAAACCACATTGTCAAGCTTTAAACAATTAGTTTGCTTTGTTGGGGTTTTAGTTCATTGATAAGAACATTTAGCTTAAATATGGAACAGAGCTTCACTCGTGCCTGCTGCCTGCATTCTTACACATCCAAATTTGCCTACTTTTGGGGCCTGCTACAAATTATATTTGCTTACAGAATAATAATTAAATTCCCAGAATTTTGTGCTTTTAAAGGAATTCCCAGGTACACCAACAATTTAGCTATACAAAACATATTCCATGTCATGGAATGCATGTCATTTGAGAAATAAGTAATGAAAACTGGGGTCTAATATTGTATCTCATTTGTATATCTCGAGCTTGTTCGTTAGCAAGAACGGTGAGAATAATACGAATATGCATTTTAAATATGAATAATTTATATTCATTTGTGTGCTTACAACACATTTTACTGACATTTACTGCCAATACTTCGTTCTAGACAATTTGTTTAGATTTTATTAGCAGGTGAGAACATGTTTAGGAACAGTTTGCAAGTGAAGGTTCTCTCATATAAGCTGTTATTGGAAACAAATAAACGCTATGAGCTAAAAACAGTTCAAATGGAAGACTCATAAATCACGTGACCTTTTGAAAACTTTTATTCTTAAACAGTTTAAACAGCTGCGAAATTGTCTTTACTTTTATTGACAACCAATAAAAATAAAGCAAAAATAAGCTGGAATAGCGCTTTCAGCGCTTTGTTTAACATAATTTAAAAACTGTATTCTTTATTGAGTTTTTTGCCCTCTCAACTAAGGACAGGGTCCCAGGGTTGGCTCATAAGCATACGCTGAAAAAAAGACAACATTTTGCTGACTGGGCATACAAAAGTAAAGAAGTTAATTGTACACACCGATATCATTCTGGCAAGAATATTGATCCAGCAGACAGCGATTGGCGAAGGCAATATAACGATCACTGTTTTCCCCGTTTTCCCCGCTGACATAAGGGAACCAACCGCAGACTTCTTGGCCACCGCTTGGACAACGCCTGGGGCAAAACTCCTTGCACTTCTCCGCAGAAGTGGAACTCAAGGCTAAAGGGAGAACATCTTGAAAGTTGTACACAAACTGCGGTGATGGAAAACTCACGTGACTGGCATTGATTGACTCTCGTGCAGTTTTCGTTGCCAAAGATACAACCGTTCTGGTAGACACGACAAACGCCATCCACAACCGCATAGACCAACTCTGTGTAGTAGGGCGAGCAGCGATAAAACACATTACAAGTCCTGGCACAGCTCCTGGTTTGTGCGGTACTCAGATGAAGTACCCCAACGAAGAGGACGAGCAGAAGCGACAGCCTGTAGATACCCATGTTAACACAGAACTGAGTGTAAGACCGAGTGGAATAACACCATATATAGGCAGGCAATCATCTGCAGATCCATGTATAATGAAATTTACTGAAATTCTGTGTAAACAGTTGACGGCTGATAGCAGCTGCGTATATACTTTATATTTGTATTATGTCATCTATTTAATTGAATTAAAATTTAGGAAATATAAAGTGAGCCAAAAATTGTCATGAGTTGTGACCATATTTGAGACTTGGTTTCTGTTTTGAATTTCCTAAGTGTTGATTGGGCAGGAACCCTGTGTTGGTTCACCTACATAAGCTGCACATAAGAAAATGTCGAAGGTTATTAGCTATCACTTTTGTTGTCAGAATACACATACCCTGAGCATGCTGGCAGGCAAACTGATCCATCAGACAACGATTCGGGTAGGACATGTAGCGACCGGCACTGTCGCTGTACGGGAACCAGCCACAAACTTTAACACCCGCACGTTGGCAGCGTCGCCGGCAAAACTGATGACACTTCATCCGAGTAGTGGCAACCAAAGCTAAATAATTAATGAATTAAATATTATTAAAAGATAATCAAAGTTCGATTTATTTACGTGGCAAGCATTGATTGGCCCTCGAGCAGTTCTCGTTGCGAAAGATGCAAGCATTTTGATAGACGCGACAACCGCTGGGCTCCACAGTCCAGACAAGCTCCTTGAAGTAGGGCGAACAACGTACAGTGGAAATACAGGTGTTGGAGCAGTTCTTGGCCTGGGCGACAGTCAGTTGGAGGATGGCTCCACCCAGCAGAGCACAGAGCAAAGAAAACTTGTAGATGTCCATACCGATGATGATTGAGCAGATGAGTGAGTGTTCGAGTGTCTTGATGTCAGAATAAATATGAAGATACTGGAAAATCTTTAGTTCAACAAAAGAATTGTTGTGCGCACAGCTGTGGGATTGCTTGGGATCTTTGTTCTCTCATCATTAAGCTCTCTGTTGAAATGAAAAATAATTAAAATGTCATGCAAAATAAACAGATCAAACTTAGCACTCAACTTGCGACAGCGATTGTTGACAGTCAAGACTGTATTTTTGGGACATATTTTAATTAAAGACAGCAGCATGCGTTTGAATCGAAGTGTACCCGTGAGGTTTGAGCTCTGCACTTGATCAACTGCAGCCAGCAGAATAATGATACAGCAACACCAAATAAAACAAGCTTTCATTTCGCTTAAATCTTTGCAAATGAATCAGCAACTAGCACACTAACAATCCATATTAATTACCATTTTCCGGCTGAATATATGCAATTTTCTATCGATTTAAGACAAGGTTTGACTGCTTTGACTGAAAGATTTCATCTTTGTGGAGTGCGTTAATCGTTTCGAATTTGGGAAAGTCATTGCCTCAGGGTAGAGGCCTAGTTTCCTGGCATTTCTATTTTATTTCATTTCGAAAGTAAAATCAACGCACGCGCATGTTTTTTTGTTGTTTTTTTTAGTTTTTTGATTGACTTTGTCTCTTAAAGGTGTATCAATTTGGACCAAAAAAGCAGCAAACAAAATGTTCAAGCTCCTCAAGTAATAAATCTCCGGGAACTGTCAGCTCAACGACACCGTGCGAGTGCCAGTGTGCGTATCTGGTTGACCAACTTCAACGCCCACCCGTCGCTCTGGCCTGGCCCGGGCTGGCCTGACATGACAAGCGACTCGAAGCCAAGTGAATGGTGGCCCAAAGTGCTGGCTGGCATTATTTACATTTATTTGGAAACACTTTTAATAAATATTGCTGCTGCAGTCAGCGACTTAGCTTCAGGACTCGAACCTTACGACTGTCCTTTAGGCCATGCCCAAAGACCACTTTGATTTGACGATTCGACTTTGCCTTGACAAGCAGATAGACGTTTTGATGGAATCTTCTTTTTGCCGGTTTCTTGAGCAGCACATATATTTTTTTCCTTTTCTTTTCTTTGCGTTCTTTTCGTTCCTTTCGATTGGGCGCTGGCTGGACTTTGATTGGTTGCTTTTCCGAATACTTGGCGTATATTTTGCGTACCTCGGTTGGATGATAATGGACAGCCATACCCGATGAACCCATATGGACATGCTCTCTAACGATCCGTTGACTGAATGTCTGCCGTTGCATGAGCCAATATAGCATCCACACCCACACAACCGGCATGACCAACTTTCAATTGAGAGTGGGGATTGATCTGCTTTGGGGAGTTCAAGTCGTTGACGAAACGAATCGCATTTGCGGCATGAAATGATCGCTGTAAATTGAAATTCAAACATATAATTGTTAAGCTGAACAGCACGTTTTCTGCGCAGACTGCGAGACCATTTAAGGCGATCCCATGCCTAGCGCCAGGCAATTGTATGGCCTGAAGGTTAAAGCTCTTAACCAGTGTCCAAGTTGGCTGGGTGTGGAATGGTAACTGTGTGATGCTTGATAAAGGGGCGGGAGCTTCGTAGCCGTTTGATTGACAATCCCCAGAAAGGCAAATGAACTGCAATAAAAACTGAGCTAAATAAAATGGTTTGTAATTTAATTTTAAATCTTAATTAAAAATGAACTTTTAACAGCTGTTTCAGCGTGCGTTGAACTGTGTACAATTATAGCTCATCCCTCAGAGGCTGCCCTATAAAAGCTCCTCGCACTGACTGTTATCAACCAGAAGATCTCCTCCTACATTACAGCAATGAAGTCGTTTCTGCTGCTCCTTGGACTGCTCCTGGTCTGTACCTTTTCGGAAGCACAATCAAGGGAGCAATGTCCCAGCATCTGTCCTGCAGTCTACAGTCCAGTGTGCGGAGAGACCCGCAAAAATGGTCAATTGGTGCGCTGCAAATTCAGCAATAGCTGCGTCATGGGTGTCAGTGGTTGTGTCAATCGTTTGAGTAAGTTTTATAATTATTTACCTTCATTTGTACTCTGCAACTAAAAATGAATATTCAACTGTTCACAGCGTGGTGTGGCACGGACTTGACCAAATGCAAACAGACTTCAAACATGTGCAATAGCTTGGGAGGATCCTAAGAACTTAACATAACCCAACCCCTACACTGACGCGTGTTTGCTCTGCAAATATTATCGTCTTTTTTGGCAGAATAAAAGATAATTGTTTTTCGTGCCAAAATAATAAAGATTTCTTTGGACTTTGGAAAGCAAAATAAATTAATTTCTAGCAATAATATATAGAAGAAGTTGTCCGTTGTTGTAGATTGCAATTTAGCGTACAAGAATAATTTCCATACAAACAAAATAATATTATTTTCCACCTCTTCGTGACTAACATTTTCTGGCATTTAGTGGACTACTTGGAACCTAATTTAGCAATACAAATATTTAATCACTAAGATTGTCTTTGATCTATTTTTAAGCGCTGTTTGTCTTTGATATGATCACGCTCAGACTGCTTGCTATTTGCTCTTTCTCTCACGTTGGTTGGCTGGGAAATTCCGACTTTCCAAACAGCTGTTTCCCAGTGACCTTGGCTGACAGTCTAAATTGTAGACTAGGCCTGCAACTATAAATAAAATTGGCCAGAATGGCCATGGTTAGTGTTCCGTTAACTCTTCTAATTAAGACTCAAAATGCGTTTGACACTTTTGCTGTTCTGTGCTCTCGTTTGCCTCATCGTTGTCCTGGCCGAGGGCAGGGAAAGAAGGGCCAGCAGCCGCAGGTCCCTGGGACTCAGGCAGCAGAGGATTACACGCAATGTGCGGCAGCGGAACAGGCAATCTGCCAGGGCAAGACCCAGCAGCAGAACCCGCAAACTGAGTGCCGTCAAAAAGAGTAGCAAGAAGAGCAAGTCAGCAAGGAAAATTAAAACCAAAAGAAAAGCCAGTGCCAAATCAAAGAGAAAAGCATTAACCACTAAGTCCGTGAGGAGTGCATCTGGATCTGGAGCTGGATCTACCACCCTGCCGCTCGACTTTCAACAGAACTTTGTGCGCACCACCAACAATTTGCGATAGGAAAAGTCCTTCCTGGCCAGCCGTTATGGCCAGAGTTTTGCCACTACCACGGGATCGAGGATCGCGCTGAAAAACACGGCCAACATGGAGTACACCTGCAAGATGAGCATTGGCACACCCAAGCAGATATTCACCATCCTGCCCGACACTGGCAGCTCCAACATCTGGGTGCCTGGCCCCAAGTGCACCAGCAGGGCATGCAAAATCCACAAGAAATATCACCCGGCCAAGTCCAGTACCTACACGAAGGTCGGCACTGCCTTTGCCATCACCTACGGCTCGGGCAAAGTGACGGGAAAACTGGCCAAGGACACCGTGCGAGTGGCGGGTCTGGCGGTCACGAATCAGACATTTGCGATGACCAACAAGGAGCCGGGCACCGCCTTTGTGGAGTCGAACTTTGATGGCATTCTGGGCCTGGGCTTCCGCAGCATTTCCGTGGACAATGTGAAGACGCTGGTGCAGAATATGTGCTCGGAGGGCGTCATCTCGAACTGCGTCTTCAGCATCTGCATGAGGGGTGGCGGTAGCTCCAAGCGAGGCGGCGCACTCATCTTTGGGAGCACCAGCACCACAGCTTATACAGGATCTGAAACCTACACCTACACTCCTGTAACCAAGAAGGGCTACTGGCAGTTCGATCTGCAAGGCTTCTATTTGGGCAGCACCAAGGTGAGTGGCAGCAGCCAGGCCATTGTGGACTCGGGCACTTCGCTGATTGCAGCCCCCACGAGTGCCTTCAACAAGATCAACAAGATCCTCGGCTGCACAGTGACCTCCAGCGGCGAGTGCTGGATGAAGTGCTCCAAGAAGGTGTCGGATGTCACCTTCGTTATAGGCGGCAAAAACTTTGTGATGGCTGGGAACAAGCTGAAGCTAAAGGTGAGGACCACAAAGGGCAACACAATCTGCATCTCGGCGGTGTCTGACATGGGCACAAGCTTCTGGATTCTAGGGGATGCCTTCATCAGGCATTTCTGTACAGTTTTCGATGTGGCCAAGAGCCGCATTGGATTTGCTGCCTCATCGTGAATATAATTTGATTGGTTTTTGTATGCAAAGTTTTCGCTTGAGACTGATCTCAAATAAAAGATGTATTTATGCCAAAGAGAAGTGCATTCACTCCACTGTATCAGCTGTTTAACTAAAACTGTTTTACTTTAACTATTTGTTTTAATTATGCCTAACAGATGCGCTTACATGAGCGAGCACTCAGTAGGGCTCTCGCGAAAATGTAAGCTGTGCTGCCTCAGTGCTCGGTGTAAGCTCATGGAACATGGCTCGAGTTTTGTTTTTCCTTAGCCTCAGCATAGCTGTGAACTTTGGCAGCTGTCGCCAGCTACGCATATCGCTGCATGGCGTGGAAAACCCAATGGGATCGGAGCTATCCAATCGATTCCTCTCCATCAACTCGAGCACATCCAGCAATGACACAGACAAGATCCGGCTGCCGCTGCGGAATCGCAATAATATCGAGTACTTTGGCATCGTCAGCATGGGTACGCCCAAGCAGATGTTCAAGGTGATGCTAGACACGGGCTCCTCGAACACCTGGCTGCCATCGAGCAACTGCGCGCGCAGCAATTGGGCCTGCCAGAACCACAGGCGCTACGACTCCTCCAGGTCCAGCAGCCATGTCAAGGATGGACGCAACTTTACGCTCTACTACGGTGCTGGCAGTGTGATTGGCTACCTCTCAAAGGACACGTTGCACTTTGGTGGGAAGGAACTGCCAAACCTGATCTTCGGTGAGGCCATGTTCCAGTATCAGGAGGTCTTCGATTCGGTGATCTTTGACGGCATTGTGGGTCTGGGCTTGGGAGAGCGTGCCTGGGCCAATTCGACGCCCTTCCTGGACCTACTCTGTGAGCAGCATCTCGTGGAGGAGTGTGTCTTCTCCGTGTACCTACGACGCGTGCCGGGCTCTTTGCGGGGCGGTGAAATCATCATCGGCGGCATCGATAAATCCCGCTTTAGTGGCTCCATTCACTACGTGCCACTCACGGAGTACGGCTACTGGAAGTTTGAGATGACAAAAGTATCCGTGGGCTTGGAGAAAATCGATGTGGGTGTGAGTGCCATCCTTGACACGGGCACATCCAATATCCTGATGCCCGAGCAGAGCTACGACATCCTGCACAAGGCACTGAAAGCCACAACAGATTATGGTCTAAGCTTCGTCACCTGCGAGCTCGATTCGCTGCCAAATATCAAACTGCTGATTGCAGGCAGAACATTTCCCATTACTCCCATGGATTACGTCAAGGAAGTGCTGCTCGAAGACAGCATTAAAGTGTGCATAACTCGCTTTGCCCCCATCAATCTGAACTTTTGGATACTGGGCGATGTGTTTCTGGGGCGCTACTACACAGTCTACGATGCAACAGAGAAGCGAGTCGGTCTGGCTAGGGCCGTGCCAGATGTTGCAATGGGAGGGTAGAGTTCAAATGCTAGTAATTCAGTGACCCACAGCCAAAGTTACACATTTTTGTGACTATTTTTCGGGTACGAATAACTGAGAGAAATAAATGTAAGTAGAGAAAAACTCGCAAATATTATCTTAGTCGGAATAGTAAAGGGCTGCCGCTTGAATCAGTCTATTTAAATAGTAAATTGTTCCCATTGTTCTCTTCTTTCCACTCATTCATTGAATTTTTTTAACTTTTTCATCCAATACCAAACTCTTTTGTACCACTGTGCGCGCTGGAACATATTTTGTTGTTGCTTATTCGCTGATTTGTTTATTTACGAGTACTCGCATGTACAATTAAATGAGCTGTTTATCTGCTGAAACATTGAAATGCGTTCAATTTGAACATTAACCGATTCATTCGACCGATTTGAGTGTACCATTTTGAGCACCAGACAGACAAGGGCCATAAACTTGCCCCATTTATAGGCAGTATAAAACAATCGCTACCAAAATCTGATCCAATTAGTTGGAATTAAATCTGCGGTGCGTTCGGTTGGTCAAAAATGTTGCACCTTTTCTGGCTGCTGTCCGTCTGGGCCCTTTGCTGGGCGGGGACCAACTCGGAGGATCATCAGCTGATACGCATACCCATGCAGCGGCAGGCATCGTTCATGGCCACACGACGACAGCATCGAGCAGGAAAAACCTCGCTCTACGCCAAGTACAATCTGGCCAGCAGTGCCACAGCGATGGTGCAGCGCAGCAGCGGAGCCAGTGAGCCGCTGGACAATCGCCAGAATCTGGAGTATGCTGGTCCCATTAGCATCGGCACACCCCGGCAGCCCTTCAATATGCTATTCGACACAGGATCCGCCAATCTGTGGGTGCCCAGTGCAGAGTGTTCGGCGAGGAATGTGGCCTGCCAGCACCATCATCGCTACAACGCCTCTGCCTCGAGCAGCCATGTGGCTGATGGTCGCCGCTTTGCCATTGCCTACAGCACAGGCCACCTGTCTGGCATGCTGGCCCAGGACACGGTCGCTGTTGGCCGTCTGGTGGTGCAGAATCAAACGTTTGGCATGGCCATCCATGAGTCTGGTTCCACCTTTTTGGACACCAACTTTGCGGGCATTGTGGGCTTGGCCTTTCGTTCGCTTGCCGAGCAGCAGGCCACTCCGCTCTTTCAGAATATGTGCGATCAGGGCTTGGTGGAGAAGTGCGTCTTCTCCTTCTACCTGAAGCGAAATGGCAGCGCCCGGCAGGGTGGCGAGCTGCTCTTCGGTGGCATCGATGCCAAGAGGTTCACGGCGCCACTCACCTACGTGCCCCTCACCCATGCCGACTACTGGCAGTTTCAGATGCAGAGCGTGGAAGTCGATGGCAAGACCATCAGCCAGGGGCGTCAGGCAGTGGCGG